AGACCAGGCATCCTGTAGTATCTTAGGCCTCTGGGCCCCCAGCCCCTGCCACATGCTGAGGCCTAGACCAGGCATCCTGTAGTATCTTAGGCCTCTGGGCCCCCAGCCCCTGCCACATGCTGAGGCCTAGACCAGGCATCCTGTAGTATCTTAGGCCTCTGGGCCCCCAGCCCCTGCCACATGCTGAGGCCTAGACCAGGCATCCTGTAGTATCTTAGGCCTCTGGGCCCCCAGCCCCTGCCACATGCTGAGGCCTAGACCAGGCATCCTGTAGTATCTTAGGCCTCTGGGCCCCCAGCCCCTGCCACATGCTGAGGCCTAGACCAGGCATCCTGTAGTATCTTAGGCCTCTGGGCCCCCAGCCCCTGCCACATGCTGAGGCCTAGACCAGGCATCCTGTAGTATCTTAGGCCTCTGGGCCCCCAGCCCCTGCCACATGCTGAGGCCTAGACCAGGCATCTGTAGTATCTTAGGCCTCCATCCTGTAGCACACAGACTTCCTCCCAGGGAGGGCCCCAGGGAGGGGAGAGAGTTCTGGAAAGTGTCCCCAATCCTTTATCACCTTCCTCCAGACACACTTCTGAGTCATCCTGCTCAGGGATTGGTCAGAGTCAGGTCCACAGTCTGAGGATGGATCCTCCCTCACTGTATGCTGGAGGCCCCAACCCAGCAACAGGGGGAAGCAATCCATCCCCCAGACTCAGGGAAACAGCAGAACTCAGAGCAATCAGCATCCAGATTGACTACAGTCCCGATATAGAACTAGATTAAGTAGCGACGTAGCAGAGGGCGCCACACATGTGGATTCCATCTGAGGCATGTAGGGATTGCTTCCAGGGCTCCCATTGTGAATACTTGTCTGTTGGTAGTGGAAGATCCCAATCTCTAACAGTCTCTGATAGCTTTTCCCTCAGGAAGGATTTACCTCGTATGGTGATGGGAACCACAAACCCCAGCGGATGGTATGGGCCGTCCACCACGGACAGAACACCACGGCTCGTCTGCAGAGCGGGCCTGAAAGCAAAATGAGGCCCCTTTCGTAAGTCGGTATAATGACCGCGGACAATCCTCATCGGAGAGCCGAACTCACCGCATACCTTTTCATCCGCGAGGTGCTTTATTGCATGCAGCAGGTTCCTGGCAGACAACGGGATGTACAGCATAGCAGAGGGTTGAAATGATAGTATCTGAAGGCCTCATGTGCACAAAATGGCTGACTCTTATACAGAGGGAGGAGGAGGAGGGGGTCACATTATACAAGGGGAGGAACACACCCGTCCTTCTCTATGGGACTACGTGGCCGTACGCCACCCGTTCGTAGTCGTAGACTGACGGGATGGATCCTGCCTGCGTCCGAGCCGGGACACCCGCACTTGGGGTGAGCGTAGGGCGGCGTTGTCCCACAGAGAAGGACGGGGGCTGCGTACTAATCACACGCAGCACCCGTCCTTCCCGGGAGCTGCCGGATATGGCCGTGCACGGAGCGGTACGCGCCGGACGTTTCTCGTGTGAAGGAGGCCTTAATGTAGTCCTGATATCAATAACCTGCCATGGAACCATCTAGGTCTAGGGGGGAGGGGTTATATACTGCATAACTCCTGCTGCGGGGGAGTTCTCTTCATAAAACCTGGTTAGACTGATGTATAAGGGAATAACAATCCGACACCAAACACCCCACCACCACCAGGCTCAGCAGGTGAATGGGACACAATAGACCTCCTACGTGGGACGTGCACAGGAGGCACATCGTATCGAGTGTCTATGAAATGCTAATTTCATTCTGTGCAGCAACATGTTGGAATGTAACAACCGCGTCACCTGGAATGTAGATACGGTTTGAAAAATTGCCACTCGGTGCATCTTCTGAACATTGTAAAACATTTCCACACCCCTTCAGCCCCCACCCCCCGCAGACCCTTTCAATCTGTAAACCGATTGAAGAAAACCAGAGACCAGGCAAACTTTGTCGAGTACTTTTCACTATCGATCCCATTTATTGAACTGATACAAATTGTCCGCTTCGTGACATCTTTTTTTTTTGTAAACATTTCCCGCACCGTTTTCATTTCCAATACAACAGTATTTGAAAATCTTTAAGCTAAAATTATGAATTCTCGGAAATCAGAAATGAAAGAATCTTCTCGCCGCTTCCGCATTTTTAATACTGTTACATTCCTGTCTGGGTGTGGCAGCGAGTGTCTCAGACATCAATATGGGGACATGATACCGTGCTAGGAAGGGTCATGGGTAAGGTACCCTTCCCATTTTTTCAGGGGAAGAGGGGGCCACACACTCACTGTCCTCCCGACCCTGGCAAGCCAGCCTGCATACCTCGATAAGGGCCTGGTATGAAATTAGAGGGGCCCCTCCAAAATCCCCACCAGAACCTTCAACGGGCATGCAGCATCGTTAGCAGCGAGCATGCTCTTTTCCCTCCAGAGCCACATGCCCTCAGCATGGAGAGAGTGTCAGGGTGGGGGGGCCAAGGGTCTCATTCCAACATCTGGTCCCCAAAAGGATATTTGGATCTGCAGGTGGAGGACATAAGGCACAGTCCATGTTGAGGGCATGTGGCCTTGTATGGTCCAAGAGTGGAGGACACACACTTGCTTTCTTCCCCAAGCTGCATGTCTAGATAAGAGTCTGGTATGGATGTTGTGGGAACCCTACGCCATTTTTTCGAGTGTGAACCATGGAGGATGATATATTGTCAGCGTGGGGTCATCAACACGTTCTGCTCAGTATGACCCTTCCATATCTTCTCCTCCATCCAGGAACATCAACACGTTCTGCTCAGTATGACCCTTCCATATCTTCACCTCCATCCGGGATCACCAACACGTTCTCCTCAGTATGACCCTTCCATATCTTCACCTCCATCCGGGATCACCAACACGTTCTCCTCAGTATGACCCTTCCATATCTTCACCTCCATCCGGGATCACCAACACGTTCTCCTCAGTATGACCCTTCCATATCTTCACCTCCATCCGGGATCACCAACACGTTCTCCTCAGTATGACCCTTCCATATCTTCACCTCCATCCGGGATCACCAACACGTTCTCCTCAGTATGACCCTTCCATATCTTCACCTCCATCCGGGATCACCAACACGTTCTCCTCAGTATGACCCTTCCATATCTTCACCTCCATCCGGGATCACCAACACGTTCTCCTCAGTATGACCCTTCCATATCTTCACCTCCATCCGGGATCACCAACACGTTCTCCTCAGTATGACCCTTCCATATCTTCACCTCCATCCGGGATCACCAACACGTTCTCCTCAGTATGACCCTTCCATATCTTCACCTCCATCCGGGATCACCAACACGTTCTCCTCAGTATGACCCTTCCATATCTTCACCTCCATCCGGGATCACCAACACGTTCTCCTCAGTATGACCCTTCCATATCTTCACCTCCATCCGGGATCACCAACACGTTCTCCTCAGTATGACCCTTCCATATCTTCACCTCCATCCGGGATCACCAACACGTTCTCCTCAGTATGACCCTTCCATATCTTCACCTCCATCCGGGATCACCAACACGTTCTCCTCAGTATGACCCTTCCATATCTTCACCTCCATCCGGGATCACCAACACGTTCTCCTCAGTATGACCCTTCCATATCTTCACCTCCATCCGGGATCACCAACACGTTCTCCTCAGTATGACCCTTCCATATCTTCACCTCCATCCGGGATCACCAACACGTTCTCCTCAGTATGACCCTTCCATATCTTCACCTCCATCCGGGATCACCAACACGTTCTCCTCAGTATGACCCTTCCATATCTTCACCTCCATCCGGGATCACCAACACGTTCTCCTCAGTATGACCCTTCCATATCTTCACCTCCATCCGGGATCACCAACACGTTCTCCTCAGTATGACCCTTCCATATCTTCACCTCCATCCGGGATCACCAACACGTTCTCCTCAGTATGACCCTTCCATATCTTCACCTCCATCCGGGATCACCAACACGTTCTCCTCAGTATGACCCTTCCATATCTTCACCTCCATCCGGGATCACCAACACGTTCTCCTCAGTATGACCCTTCCATATCTTCACCTCCATCCGGGATCACCAACACGTTCTCCTCAGTATGACCCTTCCATATCTTCACCTCCATCCGGGATCACCAACACGTTCTCCTCAGTATGACCCTTCCATATCTTCACCTCCATCCGGGATCACCAACACGTTCTCCTCAGTATGACCCTTCCATATCTTCACCTCCATCCGGGATCACCAACACGTTCTCCTCAGTATGACCCTTCCATATCTTCACCTCCATCCGGGATCACCAACACGTTCTCCTCAGTATGACCCTTCCATATCTTCACCTCCATCCGGGATCACCAACACGTTCTCCTCAGTATGACCCTTCCATATCTTCACCTCCATCCGGGATCACCAACACGTTCTCCTCAGTATGACCCTTCCATATCTTCACCTCCATCCGGGATCACCAACACGTTCTCCTCAGTATGACCCTTCCATATCTTCACCTCCATCCGGGATCACCAACACGTTCTCCTCAGTATGACCCTTCCATATCTTCTCCATCCAGGAACATCAACACGTTCTGCTCAGTATGACCCTTCCATATCTTCAGTGGTGGCCTCTCTAGAGAGCTGAATGGATGACGTCTGAAGGATGAGTGTGTATGTGAGATGTCATCTGATGGTCTTTGTGGTTGGAGATTGTGATGGAGGAATTCCGGGTGGAATGATATACGGCTCTATGTACTGTTCACCCTATCATTGGAATATACTACAGACCCCCCCCCCTCCCCCAGAGCTGAGAACACAATTACTGCAGTGACCTTGTCAGTCCAGTCATGTAGTCTGATCTCCCCACATCTGCTCCTCTCTCACCCATGATGTCTTCCTTTGAAGGGAGATCAGACTACACTGCTCTCTGATGTACCACGAAATATGACTCGTATAGAAGACACTTCCCGCACTAGTATAAATCTAAGGGCGTGTGCATTCTCTGATGTCTAAAAAGATTGCACTTCTGTGAAAAACATTTCCCGCACGCAGAGCAGGAATACGGCCTCTCCCCCGTGTGAGATTTTCGATGTATAGCAAGTTCCGAGTGCCATGTAAAACATTTCCTGCACTCGGAACAGGAATAAGGCTTTTCACCTGTGTGCACTCTCTGGTGTCTTGAAAGATTAGTCTTCTGTGAAAAACTTTTCCCGCACTCAGGACAGGAATATGGCTTCTCCCCCGTGTGACGTCTCTGATGCGAAGTAAGATTTGCTCTGCGTACAAAAAATTTACCGCACTCAGGACAGGAATATGGTTTCACCCCTGTATGGTATCTCTGATGTGTACGAAGATTTGTTTTACGTCCAAAACATCTCCCGCAGTCAGGGCAGGAATACGGCTTCTCCCCCGTGTGGGATTGCTGATGTCTGACCAGCGACGATTTATAAAGAAAACGTTTCCCGCACTCCGGACAGGAATGAAGCTCCTCACCCGTGTGAGATCTCTGGTGTACATTACGACCCAATTCAGATTTAAACCTTTCCCCGCACTCAGGACAGGAATACGGCTTCTCCCCCTGAATTCCGGCCCCATCCCCCACAGGAAGAGGTCGCTCAGAGTCAGAGGGATTCCGTGGTCTCTCCGCACTGTGACGTCCACCATCCATAGCTGAGCTCATTGTCTTCTCCCGCACAATCTGCTGTGATGTCCTCATCTTCCATCTTACAACCTGGAGATAAAGTCAGACGATCCTTTGAGGGTTCCTCCATGGCGTGTCCTGGAAACATAGAAACACATGATGGAGAGATATGAGAGGGTTAGATGACTTCACTCAACATTCCATCTGGATCAGGAGGTCTGAGGGAGCAGATGTTCTATGAGGAGGTCCCAACCAACTGGGACTCCTCCCCTCTTCAGTCAAAGGGCCTCCTCCCAGATCACTTCAAAATTGACACATCCTTGTCAGAGGAGGTGGAGCCAATGAGGACTGGGAGGAGCATGCTCTTCACCCAACCACAAGCCTAGGTACTGGGTCATGTGATCAGCAAGAAGATCAGAGTATAGACTGGCAGTGACAGAAGAATATATTCTGGGTCACCTGTGCTGATCTCTGTAGGAGTGTCCTCCTCTATGGACGTCCTCATCATCCCGGCCTCCTCCTCCGTATATCGCTGATCATCCCTCACATACGTCTCTTCTACTTCACCCTCAACTTTCATCTTCATCAGATCTTCACCCTAAACCAACAGAACGGCAGAAAGTCTCATCTGTGACATAGAAGTATTTATGATGTGACATCACATAGAAGGTCTCATCTTGTAGAGTCCACACGTCATCTCCACATGTCAGAGCGTTCCATCACTTAATATGACTCGTATAGAAGACACTTCCCGCACTAGTATAAATCTAAGGGCGTGTGCATTCTCTGATGTCTAAAAAGATTGCACTTCTGTGAAAAACATTTCCCGCACGCAGAGCAGGAATACGGCCTCTCCCCCGTGTGAGATTTTCGATGTATAGCAAGTTCCGAGTGCCATGTAAAACATTTCCTGCACTCGGAACAGGAATAAGGCTTTTCACCTGTGTGCACTCTCTGGTGTCTTGAAAGATTAGTCTTCTGTGAAAAACTTTTCCCGCACTCAGGACAGGAATATGGCTTCTCCCCCGTGTGACGTCTCTGATGCGAAGTAAGATTTGCTCTGCGTACAAAAAATTTACCGCACTCAGGACAGGAATATGGTTTCACCCCTGTATGGTATCTCTGATGTGTACGAAGATTTGTTTTACGTCCAAAACATCTCCCGCAGTCAGGGCAGGAATACGGCTTCTCCCCCGTGTGGGATTGCTGATGTCTGACCAGCGACGATTTATAAAGAAAACGTTTCCCGCACTCCGGACAGGAATGAAGCTCCTCACCCGTGTGAGATCTCTGGTGTACATTACGACCCAATTCAGATTTAAACCTTTCCCCGCACTCAGGACAGGAATACGGCTTCTCCCCCTGAATTCCGGCCCCATCCCCCACAGGAAGAGGTCGCTCAGAGTCAGAGGGATTCCGTGGTCTCTCCGCACTGTGACGTCCACCATCCATAGCTGAGCTCATTGTCTTCTCCCGCACAATCTGCTGTGATGTCCTCATCTTCCATCTTACAACCTGGAGATAAAGTCAGACGATCCTTTGAGGGTTCCTCCATGGCGTGTCCTGGAAACATAGAAACACATGATGGAGAGATATGAGAGGGTTAGATGACTTCACTCAACATTCCATCTGGATCAGGAGGTCTGAGGGAGCAGATGTTCTATGAGGAGGTCCCAACCAACTGGGACTCCTCCCCTCTTCAGTCAAAGGGCCTCCTCCCAGATCACTTCAAAATTGACACATCCTTGTCAGAGGAGGTGGAGCCAATGAGGACTGGGAGGAGCATGCTCTTCACCCAACCACAAGCCTAGGTACTGGGTCATGTGATCAGCAAGAAGATCAGAGTATAGACTGGCAGTGACAGAAGAATATATTCTGGGTCACCTGTGCTGATCTCTGTAGGAGTGTCCTCCTCTATGGACGTCCTCATCATCCCGGCCTCCTCCTCCGTATATCGCTGATCATCCCTCACATACGTCTCTTCTACTTCACCCTCAACTTTCATCAGAGGACGGGGACATCTCACTGGTGGGTTTCGTTTGTTAGGCGTTTCCATCATATTCTTATGTCCAAAAGATTGCTCCTTCACCACCCCGTACTCCTCATCCTCCTCTTTATGTTCTTCTTTAACAATAATATTAAAATCCCCGAAGTCTCCACTCTGAGTATACAATAAAACATTCATTATAACAACCATGGTTGTGTATAAGTCATAACTACCAGTGTTGGAGAAACCAATAGGAACATTGTGTTAAAGTCCCAGAATCCTCCTCACCTCTACGGTCAGGTCATGTGACCTCCCAGAATCCTCCTCATCTCCCTGGTCAGGTCATGTGACCTCCCAGAATCCCCCTCACCTCTCCGGTCAGCAGGTAGATGATCTCCAGGGTGAGGTTTAGTATCCTCTCGGTCATGTGACTCCGGTCCTCCTCCATCATTGGTGCAGTCCTCTATGAAGGTCTCCCTGTAGACAGATAACATTGATATCAGAGAATGATCCGGATTGTGTTGGTCGTACAATAATAGGAGGAGGAGATCGGGAGGTGACATGAAGGTCGGGATGTAGGAGGAGCTATGGCCTACGGTGGGATCAGATTTAGTGTTTTCTATGATTTGTGGGGTCTGGAAATTGAACTTTGACCCAGAATATAAAACTCTGTTGTCTGTAATGTCCTCCGGAGACTTTGCTGATCACATGTTAGGATGAAGATCTGAGGCTGGGATCATTATGGAGGACATCTGGAAATGTCTATAGCCCTCTTCGGGATCACTTACGGGGCCGGAACATTTGCTTCATTTTGGAGATTTGTCACCTTTTCACCTCATCGGTCTATTCTTATGGATTCTACGGATTGTATCGGGTGCGGGGGATGGGGGCTTAATCTAGATGGGGAAAAAACATTATTTCGCACTATATATGTGTAGAAGAATCTGCTGGAGATAAAAGAGGTCACAGTGACTACGGAGGACGAGGACGGACATGACGGGGGGGAGGGGTTACTGGGTGTACATATAACATAATATCTTATTACCTCCTCTGCTGCCAGTTCCAGCAATGTCTCCTCTCTACTTCCTCCAAAATTACCTCAGAGCTAGAACTTCCTGTCGGTGTCATAGAGACTTCCTGTCTGGGTATAGGTGAGATCACCACCTGGTGGAGCTCAGAGGAACTGCACCCCGAGAGACCTCTCGTAGTGTGAACACGGCCTCGTGCTGTGTGTTCTGTATAGATGGGTCATCTCCACCCCACCGAGAGGGATAGAAGTATATTACCGGGGGGGGGAATTTTTCTTTTATACGCTTGCTGTGGTTTTGTGGAGATCTCACCTATACCCAGACAGGAAGTCTCTATGGAAAACAGACAAGAAGTCTCTATGACAGACAGGAAGTCCTAGCTGTGAGGTGATTTTGGAGGAAGTAGAGAGGAGACGTTGCTGGAACTGGCAGGAGAGGAGGTAATGAGATGTTATATGATCGTAGCCCCATCACCGTCCTCTTTGTCCCTCTTTTCGGACACAGGCAAATAAATATTCTGTTTAACACCCGAAAATGTTTCTACGGCTCTGAATTGTTCGTCAGATTTCGGGTGATTTCACTTCCTGACCTGATAAGACGGGTATAAAAGGAACGTCACGGTGAAATAAACCATAAGAGGGTCACATGGTCACCGAACGTCAAACCCAAATCCAAGCTTTCCCCGGGAAGGTGAATTCTTCATTCTCTGAACGGAGCTCCGATGTAGGGTGAAGTCTTCTTCAGGAGAGAGACACGTCCGGGAGAGACCATCTCCTGATTTCCCTCCTCCCCCCACTAAAAACTATGGGTCCCCCCCCGCTGATCTCCACCTCACTACAGGACACAATACAGGACACTGTGAAGGGACGCGGTACACGACACTGTGAAGGGACGCGGTACACGACACTGTGAAGGGACGCGGTACACGACACTGTGAAGGGACACGGTACACGACACTGTGAAGGGACGCGGTACACGACACTGTGAAGGGACACGGTACAGGACACTGTGAAGGGACGCGGTACAGGACACTGTGAAGGGACGCGGTACACGACACTGTGAAGGGACGCGGTACACGACACTGTGAAGGGACACGGTACAGGACACTGTGAAGGGACGCGGTACAGGACACTGTGAAGGGACCCGGTACACGACACTGTGAAGGGACACGGTACAGGACACTGTGAAGTGACGCGGTACACGACACTGTGAAGGGACGCGGTACACGACACTGTGAAGGGACATGGTACAGGACACTGTGAAGAGACACGGTACAGGATACTGTGAAGGGACACGGTACAGGACACTGTGAAGGGACACGGTACAGGACACTGTGAAGTGACACGGTACACGACACTGTGAAGGGACACGGTACAGGACACTGTGAAGTGACGCGGTGCACGACACTGTGAAGGGACGCGGTACAGGACACTGTGAAGGGACACGGTACAGGACACTATGACGGGACGCGGTACACGACACTGTGAAGGGACACAGTACAGGACACTGTGAAGGGACACGGTACAGGACACTGTGAAGGTACGCGGTACACGACACTGTGAAGGGACACAGTACAGGACACTGTGAAGGGACACAGTACAGGACACTGTGAGGGGACACTGTGAAGGGACGCGGTACAGGACACTGTGAGGGGACACGGTACAGGACACTGTGAAGGGACGCGGTACAGGACACTGTGAAGGGACACGGTACAGGACACTGTGAAGGGACGCGGTACAGGACACTGTGAAGGGACACGGTACAGGACACTGTGAAGGGACACGGTACAAGGACACAGTACCAGAACACATTACAGAGACACTAGACATGGGCATGGTGCAGGACACAGTAGAACGCTGGCAAGAAAAATCACCAAAGGCTGTGCAAGACCGGGAGATGGACACTAAAGAGTCAGTCTGTGTAGAAGACTTCCTCCGGTATCTGGACTTCATTAGGGCAGATGTTTGGGGGTGCAGATAGAAAGAGAGGTGAGAATTGACTTTATTCTTCTCTTTCTCATTCCTCTCCTATATGGCTTCAGACAGATGGAGATCTTTACTTTACCGCTGCTCTGGAGATTCTTTGGTCTCAGTGACGTCAGCCTCGGTCAATTTAGGGATCGAAGTTCACAATCTCTCCTAGTCTCCTTTCCTTCTCCCTTTTCTTTCTCCGTCCGGTCTTCCTTCGTCCCCCTCTCCCAAACTCCTCTAAGCTTTCATCACCCAAACTTTCGGGAGGGAAACAAGAACTATGACGTCACTACTAGTCTTCATCTGGTCCAGCTAGACCCCCAAAATTAACAACTTGGTTATCTATACTGCGAGGGTCTCGGAATGGCCGATGTTGGACTCTTTTCTCTCCGAAGCAGGAAATTCACCTTTTATACTTATAGGGTTACCAGAACAAAATGGCCCATGTTACATTACGTAGAAGTAATACGTTTGGGCCTTATGGTTTAATTTGGTGAGTGCTTAATGGTTCTGGGAGTCCACATCATTCTCCTCCATCTGTGTGAAGTAGAAGAGACGTATGTGAGGGATGATCAGCGATATACGGAGGAGGCCGGAGTGATGAGGACGTCCATAGAGGAGGACACGCCTACAGAGATCAGCACAGGTGACTCAGAGTATATTCTTCTGTTATCCGGGGGAGGGACTGCCAGTCTATACTCTGATCTTCTCGTATATCAGAGGTCACATGACCCAGTGCCTAGGCTTGTGGTTGGATGAAGAGCATGCTCCTCCCAGTCCCCATTGGCTCCACCTCTTCTGACAAGGCTGTTTCAATGTAGAAGTGATCTGGGAGATGGCCCTTTGACTGAAGAGGGGAGGAGTCCCAGCTGGTTGGGACCTCCTCAGAGAACATCCGCTCCCTCAGACCTCCTGATCCAGATGGAATGTTGAGTGAAGTCATCTAACCCTCTCATATCTCTCCATCATGTGTCTCTATGTTTCCAGGACACGCCATGGAGGAACCCTCAAAGGATCCTCTGACTTTATCTCCAGGTTGTAAGATGGAAGATGAGGACATCACAGCAGATTGTGCGGGAGAAGAGACAATGAGCTCAGCTATGGATGGTGGACGTCACAGTGTGGATAGACCATGGAGTCCCTCTGACTCTGAGCGACCTCGTCCTGTGGGGGATGGTGCTGGAATTCAGGGGGAGAAGCCGTATTCCTGTCCTGAGTGTGGGAAATGTTTTAAATGGGAATTTGTCAGACATCAGTGTGGGAAAAGTTATACACGAAAAGCAGAACTTGTCAGACATCAGATATCACGTAGAAATGAGAGGCCATATTCCTGTTCTGAGTGTAAAAAATGTTTTATATGGAAATCAGATCTTGACAGACATCAAAGATCTCACACAGGGTATAAACCATTTTGCTGTTGTGAGTGTGGGAAAAGTTTTTCACAAAAGACCCATCTTTCTGCACATCAGAGATTCCATACAGGGGTGAAACCGTATTCCTGCCCCGAATGTGAGAAACGTTTTCAACAGAAA